TGATTGTGAATCCGAGTAAAATAAAGTCTTGGTAATTTCAATCTTGTCTCCATCTATCATGATGTTGTTTATTGAACCAGTTGTGAGGTGTAGGTTTTGTTCAATTTTTTTTCTTGATCTTGATGTGTAATCCATACTGGAGGCTATATGATCCTTGATCTAAATCAGAAAAGATTTGTCATCTGTATTTTATATGCTGAAAGTAAGCCTTCCTCCAATTGGAATGCTGCATAATTCTTCACATAGCTTTGTTTCTTGTATATTTACTTGGCATATAGATTGAAAGGTGTGTCCAAGAATGCAACTCTGATGCAGTTTTCTTGATTTTAAATCATAGAATAAAATTATTTTTACTGGTTACCTTTTTGTAATACATGCTATACATTACATTTACAGAAGTGATCTGTTTGCTTGAAATAGTACCCAGCTGGCTTTTATATGTAAGAAACTTAATCACAACCAATATACGTATCCATACCTGTCTCTCTGTACTATTAATATACACTGTGATAAATTCTGACCCACACAGCTTAGCATTTGTTTAATGAACACCAGGTTTGTCTCAGTAGCTATGTTGTAACTTTTCAAGGGCACAAAAAATAACTCATATATCTTTATAATGAAAGCACAGATGGTTAAAAAAAAAACACCAACCAAAATCAAAACCAAAACAAAACAAAAAAACCCAAAACAACCAACAACAAAACAAAAAAAAACCCTGACATTTATATAAGTATTAATAAAAGTCTATGAGATTTTACACACATTTTTTTGTCATTGACAATTTCAATCTTTTTTCCTATCATACTATTGTTTATTGATCCAATAGTGAAGGTTTTGTTTCCTTGATGTTGAGATGTAATCCATGTTAAAGGCTATATAGTCTTTTTTTTAAAAAAAAAAACACAAAACTTTGTAAAGTGGATGAGAGAGATATTATTTTTATTATTCTCATTTCATCAATACGTTAAAGAGGATATGTAGACTGACCAACCTTGTGGTTGGTCAAACCTTAATTTATGGCTTTTGACTCTCTGTCTTCCAAAAATATATGATTTGCAAGAGACTCATTGGCACATATAAAAATAACAATAGTTTTTTATGGAAAGAAAAATCCATTTGATTTTTACAAGTGACATAAAGATAGTTTTAGAATGCAGAAACATTTTTTCTTGACTAAAAGTTTCCTCTACTCAATACAAATTCTGTATGTGCTTTTATAAATTAGAATATTGTAATTTAAAGGTAAGGAACAAGTGCCTTGGTTTGGGGGGTTTTTAAAAATTATTTTTTTCTTATTGATTTCTTTTCGTTCATGTACACTGTTTTATACAATCTTTCATTTACATTGTGTTTCATACAATACTTCATATGCCTTTTCTTTTATATAATTAATTGCTACAGATCTGTGTATTATTACACTGTCTTTTAAAGTCCTCATTGAATCATACCTATTCATTCACACTTCTATCTGCAGGGTAATCTCTGCTACCTTAGTGATTTGATCTTTCCCTATATGACATCTTTCCCCTCTACCCCTTATTCCTCTTTTGAATATTTATATACTTCTTGCTCAGTTATCCTTATATTTTTACAATAATGTCCTTATGTAGTATTTGTCCTTATGAGACCGAGTTATTTCACTTAGCATAATGCGCTCTAGACTCCTGCATGTCATATATTACAAGATTGTTGCCACTTAGAGCAATAGTATTCTGTTGTGTTTCCACAGTTTCTTAATCCATTTGTTTTCTTATGGCAGAAAATTTGAGATTATAAACATTCCAGTCAAAGTTTCTACTACAGGTTTTTGTTTCTTTTTATTCATCATGAGTTTCCATATTGCCACCATTTTTGCTTTAAGATTATCTACAAGTGACAATTTGTTGTCATGGTGTCATGGTGTCCTGGGACTGATCAGTACCTAACATATCACAACTTGCTCCCTATCCACTTTTATTACCCACTTAACTCCTAAAAAATCTTTGAGTTTGCCTCCAGTAGTAAATACATTGTCTGCGGCTAATATTTTTTACTTTTGAAAAGTTGTCTTAAATCTGTATAAAGTTTTTCAGTATACTTGGACTTTCTCCTTAATTATTACATGTCATTTCTTTTTAATGGAATTAAGAAATTTCATCCCTGCCATGTTTTCAAGTTAATTATTTGTACTGACATTAAACTTAATAATAAAAAAAACTTGCTTCCATCATATCAATTCTGACTGAGTGAACCTATAAGGACAGCACCAAACAGTCCTACAGGTTTTCCAAGGCTGTAAATCTTTATGAAAGTAGATTATCACCTTGTCACATTGTTCTCTATGGAGAGGGTGATGGAATCTTACCAATGCCATATAACAGCTTAATGTTTTAATGGTTACATCAATGAGGTTTCTTTTAAATAATATTAAATCAATTAAATGTTTAATAAAGAATAAAAATTCTGCAAGATGGAAAGATAATCATAAACAAATGGTAAATCTAACTTTCCACCTATTTGAGATTTGAATGTACAAGGTACTTCTAAGGGAAAAGTAAAGTAAAAATAAAGTGATTGACACTTAAATAAGGGAGTGGGTTGTCTCTTCTACTCCAACAACCACAGTATTTCTGGGAACCATCAGCAGTCTAGACTTCTTCCCCAAAGAAGATTGGAGTTTAAATGAGAATGTGGTGGTTTTAGACCGGTGTAAACAGTTAACGGAACTCTGGTGACACATTGGCTAAAGTACTTCTCTAATAAGGTTCACAGTTTGAACTCAGAAGATGCACAACAGAAAGAAAGATGTGGCAGTCTGATTTTACGAGGTTCACAGCCTTCCAAATTCTATGGAGTAGTTCTTTTCTGTAGGGTCATTAATAATAGGTTGAATGGCAGTGAGTTTTGATTTAATTCAGATTTATGGCATCAGAAGTTTTGAGTAGAGGAAGAGAGCTATAGTTTTGGCAATATATTTTATATAAAGAAACTAAGTTATACTTGTTAGGAAAACACATGTTATAGTCTTCAGAACTCTTTATCCCAAGGACAGTTGATGATGAATATGGAAATTAGGTGTGTTGCATAATTTTTATGTCCCAAAGAAACAGTTGAATAAAGTTAGTTAAATAATCCTGACACGTTTCTAGATCACTTTGATTCTGAAAGATTAATCACTCAGTGAATTCTTAATAGAGTCCTCGGGAGGTACAAGCAATCAATTGAAAATTTGGAGGTTAGAGAGATGCCTTGGAAGAAAGGCCTGATGATCTACTTCTAATAAATTTTTCCATTAAAACCGTGTGAAACAGTTCTATTCTGACATAAGTGAGCTCAGTATGTGTCAAAATCAACTTGATGAAAACTAGGTGTCATTGTGATCTTAAGTACATTGTGATTAGAATTAATATTATGATATAAATTGACCCATCAGCATTCTGACCTTTGTCTTTTACATGAGAAATCTATATGCTTCAATCCATAATATACTTCTATACTGGGTATACCAGGTGTCCACTGCATGGACATGAAAGTACAAACCCCTTATCTACAACCTTATGAAAGAAATATAGATAATTAAGTTTTGTAGGCATACATTTTAGGCTCTGGTTTGGAAACCTTTTCTCCAAGATATTTTACTGTTGTTTCTTCAAATTATTTTTCTTTTTTATTTTCTTCTTTTCCAACGAGTAGTTCTTTAGCAAGCTATAGAGTTAAGTTAATGACTTTCTTAAACACATTGGCTACATTATTTCAAACAAAAGACTTTTCTTCAAAAGACATTAGAGAATAAATTTCTTGTGAGGAATAAAACTATGTCATGAAAAGATTTAATTTTTATTTTTTAATAAATTGACAATTTCCTTCTCTTCATTTTGTAGATGTAGTTTTTATTTCCAAAAATGAACAATAGCAACAAAAAGGAAAATGGTGTGCAAAAGTGAAACCATTCACTTCACATTATCATGACTATTTTAAAATTATGAAGATAATATCTTCAAATAGTGTTTGTTTCATCATGTTCTTGTTATTGTACTATTGAGTTGCTTGTGACTCATCGTGACCCTATATATAACAGCCCTAAACCCTGCACTGTCCTGTGCCAATCGCACTGTCTCTGACACACCTACCCACATTACCCAGTCACTGAATCAATCCACCTCACTTGAAATAAACACACACACACAAAAGAAAACAATTAGAAGCAGTTTCTGTAATATAGACAAATAATTATTCATGTGACATTACAACCTGTTTTGTTTTGGAAATGCATAAAGCATATGTTGTGACACAAACTGTTGTGTGAATGATAATTTCAACTGTAAGTGTAACTCTGCAGTACAATAGAAATATAGACAAAATGTCTAGTGTTAAAATCACAATCCTGATCTTAATATAACTGATACAACTACTCATATAGAGTAACTGAAAATATTTTAGTTCATTGGGCCTGAGTTTCATGAACAACATAATAGGGCTTTATAATTAAAGACTATTGTGAAGTAAAGAAATTTCTAATCACATACTGTTTATCATAATACCTGGGACATAGTCAGCATTCAAAGAATGATTGCTAATATTATTGCCAACCCGTTCAAATACACTTGATTAAAAGTAATGAAATGGTACATATCATGGATAAAATTAATTCAAGTTAACACCAAAATTAATAGAACCATAGATATTTATATTTTGGGCATATGAAAACAACTAGACATTTTTGTTTAGAGGAGATAATGTAACACAATTATTAATATCCAGAAGTAGTTAAGTAGTTGTAAAGGAATTTTCATTTTAAACTTAAAGTTTAACCCTTAAGGAGGTTTTTTATTTGTTTGTGGGCTTTATTAGCGCATAGCAATCTGGTCATTAGCAATAGTATTCTTGGAAGTACACTCAGAAGAATTCCTTATTTCACAAATATTCTTTGATTGCCTAGTATGTGCCCAGCTGTGTTTACCTATCATTCAGAGGAAATACCTACCTTTTTATGCTCTGAAAACTTTCCTTTTCCACAGACATTTCCAGTGGGCCTAGGAGATGGGCAATTCTATGCATGGACAAATGGTTTGAGAAGAAAGGACTGGCATGACTATGAAAGCATTCAGAAAGAGGCTTTGCGCTCAGGTATGAAGCTCAGTGTAAGCCAAAGTGTTACTGTATCTCCTTCAATATCTCATTACTACTTAAATTATTTTAATTCGTTTTTCCTCTGCACACAATAAGATATGGGGGATAGTATACTGGGCAGAACAAAATACATTTTTAAATGTCAAAAAGAAAACCAGAAAAAATAGCCTTTACAATATCAACTTCTAAAGAGTTATAAACATTTAGAAATCTTGAATACTTTGTATTTCCAAATTGTTTTTCAATAACTGAGAAATGAACATCAATATGTAAGTAGTTAAACTCGCCAATTAGGGCTTGTTGTGTACAGTGGAGTTGGAACCAACAAACAGCTGACCCTCCAGTGTTTTCAGAGGCAGTTAATTGCAAGGGAGGAGATTGCCAATCCTTCTCCCACGGAGCAGCTGTTGGATTCGTGTACCATGCCTTTGGGACTGCAGCACAGATTCTTATGCTTAGACCGCCAGAGCTCCCTAATTAGGGTTTAGCCACTATGAACTGATAAGTATCTTTCAGTGTCATTGATAATACAATACATCTAAGGTAACCTCCTAGACTTCAACAAGGAAATGGATGGATCACAAGAGTAGGAAATTCAAGGTTGGCATACTTCAATAGATAGATAGGTAACTAAATAAATCAGTTGGATCTATTTATGTATTATCAGGCAAGAGGTAGAGAAATAATTTTTCTTTTTAAAAAAAAGGTAAAAAAGAAAGAGTGAATTCTCTTATATAACTGAAAAGTTATGTGTTTGGAAATAGGGACTCCGAAGCTCATGTAAGTAAAAATCCAGTGAGCCTGAAAACTGCTGACTGATGACTGCTGCTACCCACTGCTGTGGAGTTGGCCCCAACTCAAGACAACTCTCTATCATATTTGCAAGACTTTTACTGAATATATTTATGGTGTGTGCCCATTTTTTCTCCTGTAAAGTGGCTGGTGGATTTGAAGTGATGACACTTTGGTTAGCAATTCATTAAATTACATATGGTTTAATCAAAACTCTTTTTAACGTTTTCTGTGGTGGTTGTTATCTAGCATCAAATGGAACATATACATAAGGTATCCTCCAGCAGGTTTTCAGAAGGTATAAATCACGTAAGAGGAGGTTGCCCATCTTTTTTTTTTTTGCAGAGGAGCTAGAGGATTTGAACCTCATGTTTTTTGGTTAATAGCATATCTCCTTACCACTTGGCTACCAGAGGGTGTCTATATTTTATTATTTGTTTAAAGGAGCTCCATGGTTTGTGCTGTTTTCTTTGTGGGGTTTCTTGGGGGTTGGTTTTCTTCCATTGTTAGAACACCACAGAAAGCAGAAAAAAAACTGCTTGAATGAAAGCATGCAATGCAAGCAGCACTATCCTCAGTCAAACCAACAGTAAAACTGCATCGTAGCAAGCATTCATGCATTGCATCACCTTATTCAAGACACATTCTCCTCAGTATAGCTATGGTGGATGAAAATGCAACTACTATGGAATTGATCAGGGTTGTGAAATTTTCTTAGCTCTAAGTCAGATGCCATTGTTCTGTTTAAAAAAGTCTTTCACCAGTTCTCTTTCGTTCCCTTTTCCTTTTTCATTTATTTTCTGTAAATAAAGCAAATCTTTTTATTTCAATTTCATTAAATGTTTTTGTCCCAAGGAAAACCCCTCCTCCACAGAGAACCAATCTTTCTGATTTCACCAAACTTCCCTGTACCTAGGATTTATTGACCTTCCAGTGGGTTTTCAGAGGCAGCTGACCACACAGGAGGAGATTGCTCATGCTTCTCCCACTATGAGTTATCTCTAGGGGGCGTTCCTAGGGTCTTCACTTTATTCTTATATCTTCCTTCTACTTGCTTGGTCTGATTTGCAATAATCTAAACTTAGATTTCTATTTCTGACCTCAAGATTCTGAAAGATATTTAAATTCTTTACATAATCATATTAAATGAACTATCAATTAAATCAATAGAATAGGTGCTTTTAAAATATGTACCGTACATATGTAGTTCAGCTAAATCTCATAATGAACCTAATACCCACAGCCATCAAGTCCATTTCCATTTACAGAGCCCATTCCTGATTTTTCAAGGCTCAAAATCTACAGAAATGAGAGACTGTCTTTCTTTCAAGGTGCAACTGGTGGCATAGAATTGCTGAAATTAGCAACCCAGGATTTATCCTTCCATGCCAGGAGGACAGAGCACAGCTCAATTCATTGCTGTTGATTCAGAGCCAACTCACTCCTGACTCTCTAATGAGTTTTCAAAGGGTGTAAATAGCGTGAGAAGAGATTTACTCTCAGGAGAGCTGGTGAACTCAATCATCTGCTTTGGATTAGTAGTGAAACTACTTACCTGCTAAGCCACCAGAGATCCTACTTACTA